GCCTCCCATCCCAAACCTACCAGTAGGTTTATTCACCAAAACCACTCCTTCCCAGTCACCGTTTCCCCAAGAGCCATTGGCAGGTTAATTGGCCACAGTCTTCTGGCAGGGGTATCCACCCAGCTACCAGCTCCGCCAGGGTCTAGTGGTGAGACTTGCAGTGTGCATGCATGGATGAGCAGCAAGCCTAGCTCACTGACCGGATGCCGTTTGTAAGATTTCAGGCAAGTGATTCATTGCCCTTGGGTTGCTGTCGGGTCACATTTCCCCTTCCTTTCAGGGAAGAGCTTTAGAGAGCAGCAGTGCGCAAAGTACAACAGCTACAACTTCACAGATCTGGATGGGAATCTGCTGGAGTGGCTCCCCAAGTATTCCGGGGTGTCCCCCCGGGACCGTTGCAAGCTCTTTTGCCGAGCCAGAGGGAGGAGCGAATTCAAAGTATTTGAGGCCAAAGTAAGACACTTGCCTTTAATTATTATTGTCCTTGCCTGGAATATAACAGGATGAAAGGCCCCAGCTGGGGTCATGGAACTGTCTCATTATTGTCTGCTTCTTCTGGCCCAGGTGATCGATGGGACGTTGTGTGGGCCAGAGACCCTCTCCATCTGCGTCCATGGGCAGTGCATCAAGGCTGGCTGTGACCACGTGGTTGGCTCCTCCAAGAAGCTGGACAAGTGTGGGGTGTGCGGTGGCAATGGGTCGACATGCAGGAAAATATCTGGCTCGCTCAACAGATCCAAGTAAGTCCTGGGGAGATTGAAGCCTGGTATTCCGGGGGGTGACGGAAGGAGATGATCATAGCATAAAGGTGGCACCAAGTGAGAGAGATTTGTCTCTCCTGGGGATGTTTTTGGAGCAGTGGCTTTCACCCCATAATGGTCCTGCCCCTTGCAGAATCGAACCCCCAGACAATCTGAAAACTCCGGACGGATGCTCTTAGAGGGCCTGATTCTACATCATTCCAGCTAATTGAAGCTTTGCAGGATCAAGTCCAGAGAGAAAACAGGTTTAATCTTCAAACATAGTCACTGTTTCCAAGGCTCTTTCCCCGGGGGCCAAATACCGGACTTCAGTGGAGCTCCACTGTCCTACAGCAGCTCAGGATCCAGCCTCTGAACCGATTCTTCTCTCTAGCTACACCCCTGCAACCTCATTGACGTTAATGCATTCAAACAGGGTGTAGCAGAGGGAAGAATACACCCACACGTTACTAAACACATTTTTCCTTGCACAGACGACCAGCAGCATGTCAGATGTTTACAATTATTTCAGATTTAATAATCCAGGTTACTCTTCCCCGTTTGTTTTCATTTTTACTCTTGAATCAGCTTGGATAGTGAAACCAGACCCGGTCAGGCCCACCTTTTTGTCTCTTGTCTGTTACCCTTTCTGATTCTCCTGCGCTATCTAAGTGCTGCAATGTTGTGGATGCCAAAACTGCAGGAAAAACTTTAAATATATATATATATATTTAAAAAAAAATACCTCTTAACATTAACTTTTAAATGTATCATGAAATTATTAAGGTTTGCAAAACCAATTCTCTCCTCTCTCTCTCTCTCACACTCACACACACACACACACACACACACACTTAGAACCTAAACTACCTGTCAGTCAGGCAGATTCTGATCTAATTTGCACTTGGATAAATCAGGCATAACTCTATCAGTTTCCATAATGTTAACCTGGATGTACACTAGTGTAAATGGGCTCAGAATCCAGGAAAGTGACCCTGTAATGTTTGTTATCTCTGCCCCAAACTCCATGAAACTTCTGCAAAGTTTATTCCTTATGTAACCCAAGCCGTGCCTGTTGCTTCAAACGTTATCTGGTGCCGCTACCATGTGCTTGGTGCTCTACCAGGCACAAATAAAAAAGTCAATCCCTGCCCTGAGGTGTTTACAGTCTAAGCTCAGAGGTTGAATTTCACCCTTGTGCAGTGGGCCAGCATAAGACCTATGCCATGCTTAAATGGCTCAGTGATCTTGTGCTGGCCTGACACATGGGCGAGTTTTGTTGTCTGGGCCAGAGCCTAAAGACGGTATAAATCCATGTAGTGCCACTAACATCAATAGAACTGTGTCAATTTGTACCAGCTGAAGAGCTGGCCCTTTGTGTTTATGGGTTAAACTTCAAGCAGAATAATGCTAGCCATCGGAGTCCAATATAAAAGACTTCTTGGAAAGAGAGTAACAAAGGGCTGAGATGTCAAATTCCATGTGGCGAGATTACTCCCGGGGTCAAATTAGATTTCCTAAATGGTTTCCTTCCAGGGAACACAATGAATGGAACTTCCATTTGCCAATGAATTGCTTGTGGTTGACTAAACAGAGATTAACATGGTCATGACAGCCAAAAGGATTTAATCTACCAGAGATCCTATTAAGATCAGGGATAAGGATGCCAGCACAACTGACTGCAAAATTCGACCCTAAGGCTTTGTTCCAAAATACTCTATGCATAACTGCCAGCCACAACACAAGCCCTTGAAACGCTTTGTGTAAATATTCCTGTCAGCTACAGGTGCTGACTTGTGCCAGGTGCCGGATTCTAGTGTGTTGCCTCACACCTGTCACAAATGATCACTATTGTTTGCTCAGCACAGACAATGTACAAGGCACAAAGACAGACAGTCCCTGACTTAAAGGCCTTTTAGTCCATAGCCATGACTCAGTGTTCACACTGCAGTCCCTAGGCCCCTGCATACTCCAGGATTCTACAGCGACACAATTTGCCATGGAATCCAGCCCAGTGGCAAAACTGCGCTCCAGAATCTGATTTCATTTTTTTAAAACTCAGTTGCTATCTCTGATGGTTGCAAAGAAAACCTTCCAAACGTAAACCAAGTGCAACCAATGTGGAGATACCTGCTTGAATCTGCAGATGGCCTGGAAAAAAATAGCTCAAAGAGGTGTGAACTGCCCCACTCATCTCGCAAGAGATGTTAACTCTGAAACCTAAAGAGGACAATATAAACATCAATATCAGTAACTGCTTAACTGCTGATTGTTTTAGCAGAAACATCCAGCCAGTGTTCTTATCCTATAGTTCCAAACTGTCACCGAGCCCTCCCCAGGTACCAAAAGCCCCAGCTGCCTCGTACCCAGCTGTCAAAACCCTCCTCTGTGTCTGTGACGAGGTCCCAATGCAGATCTGAGCTTCCAGAACAAAACTCTGCAGCCCCACTGCAATGTAAAAATTTAGGGGCAGTGTAAAATAAAGGGAATTTCATATCAAAATAAATAACTGATTGCACTGCTCATTTTCACATTTTGTTCAGAAAAACCCTCCCGTTTAACATTTATCGGAGGCTGTCACAGAATTTTCCATTCATGGCACTGGAGTGCTGATTAGGTCAAGCTTGTCACAGGCAATATGCTATCCCATCCCTGTACTAATTTGTTTGTAAGTTCAGGATGACAACCATCTCCTCTTGATCCACGCAGGTATGGATATAATGACATTGTCACGATCCCTGCTGGAGCTACCAACATTGACATCAAACAACGCAGCCACCGAGGGGTCCGGCACGATGGAAACTACCTGGCTTTGAGAACCCTGGATGGCAAGTACCTCCTGAATGGAGACTTTGCCATTTCAGCCATGGAGCAAGACCTCCTGGTGAAGGGGACAATCCTGAAGTACAGCGGCTCTCTGACGACCCTGGAGCGGCTCCAGAGCTTCCGGCAGCTTCCGGAATCTCTCACTGTCCAACTGCTGACCGTCTCCAGTGAGGTCTTCCCGCCCAAGGTGAAGTACACTTTCTTCCTCCCCAAGGACATCCCCTTTAGCAAGCAGAAGGTCAAGGAAAAGAAATCAGCCAACATCATCCAGCCCATGCTGACCTCGCAGTGGGTTATGGGAGACTGGTCCGAGTGCTCCAAAACCTGCGGCTCTGGCTGGCAGAGGCGAACGGTGGAATGCCGGGATGTGGAGGGCCAGGCCTCCACCACCTGCGACAAGGCTCTGAAGCCTGAGGACATCAAGCCCTGCGGCGACCTCCCGTGCCCCATTTGGCGCGTCGGCCCCTGGTCGCCGTGCTCCCGAACTTGCGGCGAGGGAGTGCGGACGCGGAGCGCCACCTGCATTGACTATGCAGGAAAGATCGTAGCCCCTGAGAAATGCAGCTCGCCCCCGCCCCAGGCAGCGACCGCCGCCTGCGTACTGCAAGAATGCTGAGCCAGGGCAGGCCTAGTGCATCGGAGACGCATAACGTAGCCAACTACTAACCAGACCAGACCTGGCTTGGCAAGTCAAGCAGGGACGTAGGTTTAAAAGTGAACGTGCACTAATTGACCTGAGCAGGCCCCCGGGGGCAGACCTGCTTGGAAGACTCGTTTCTGGTTCCATCCCCCGCCAATAGACATCTACCTCAGAGGGGGCGGAAAATAGTCCGGGGGAAGGGAGGAGTCCGGTGATTTATTTTTACTGGTCAATAGCAGATGAATTTTAATTTAAGGAGCGAGTAATCCTATTCTAGGCTATTTCCCAAAAGGATGACCTGAGTTTCAGCCATGCCCACCCACTCTCCTTCATTATTTCCCATATGTGGCCTGAGAGACTCATCTGCAGGGAGGCTGAGGGGTAGGATAGCTGCACCCCCTGGCTTGAAGGGGTTTCCATTACATTCAGGGTTTACAATTTGGTTCAATGGCTCTCAGCACCCCCACTATACAAATTGTTCCAGCACCCCTGAGTTTAACACAGGTTTGTTTGTTTTTTAAATCTGTATGGGACGAAGGGCGTGATCCTGCCGCCATTACTCGGGTAGAATTCCTATGCTCTTCAGTAAAGACTGTGGGAGCAGAAGCCTTAAACATGACCTTATACTAATTTGGCAAATTCCATTAGGGTTCGTTACTACAGAGGGGCTTAAGCTGCACAATTTGGCCCCTCTGCCCTGTCCCAGCTTCAGTGGTGTTCGGACCTGGGGCTTTGGTTCAGCCCATTTGAAGCTGGGCCCCTTTGCAAAACTTCTGTGGATCGTGGCTCCGATTTTGGTCCCCTTTGTCCCAAAGTTTGGGGGTGTTTGGATCCAGGGGGCTTGTTCAGGGCCATCTCTATTCTTAGGTGGTTATATACAGCCATCCACCATCTGAACAGATGAAAGGAGAGGGGACAAAGTCGGTCCATTAGTGGTGCACAAATGCAGTGGAAGCCCCGTGAAAAGTCAGCCAGCATTGCACGTGCCCATCTGAACCTTTCCGACTTGTCTCTCTCAGTTAGCCTGCACAGACAACCAATGAACTGTTGCAGGAGGCAGAGTATTGTGAGTAGGGGACCGAGCTCCAGCTACTCCTGAGTCTAAAGGACACTAATTCCTTTATGCAGCCTTAGATGAGTCACTTAACCTCACTTTCCTCAGCTGTAAAACGGGGCTATTGGCACTACCCTGATTCACAGGATGTCATGAGGATTAGCTGATGTTTGAAGGTGAAGAGCGAAATGTTTATTGCATGATATAAGCTAGATGCTGCATCTCAACTATGCCCTGTCTCCTGGCCAGGAGGGTGCGAGCTAGTGTTTCCTTGTGCATAGAAACCCTCCTTGGTTTTCAGTCAATTCTCCCACCACTTTGCCCTAGTATTGTCCTCCATCTGACCAGTCCTGACTAGGACATCTAAAACAGCTTCTCCCAAGGCTGGAGTCTTTTTTATTTCCCTAGCAGGGATTGCTGCCAGAGTTAAGTAACACAGCCAGCTCTTCTCTCTCTCCGACCCAGATGTTGTCTGTCCCCAGTGCAGACATCTGGCCAGTCTCTGAACTTTCACCTTTTGAAGCAAGCTCCCTGTGCTACACATCCGGTGAGACTGATTGGACCTGGCAGCAGCCTCTGTCTTTAGGGAAAATGTGAAAATTTACTTTTTCATCAAAGTTTCTCAATAGGGGAGCCTCATATTACCCAGAAGTTCCATTTTCTTATGCCCCTACCTTGGGGACTCCCAAGAATCTTTCTCCCTTTTGATGCTCTCACACTCTCTCTCTCGTGTGTATGGCTTCCATTTAATTGTTGGAAACAAACCCCAGCGAACTAAAGAGATCTCCATTTGTCTGTCTCTCTCTCTGCCTGTCTCATGTATGTCCTTTTCTAATTAGGGCTGGGTGACCCTCCTGGAGGATAAGATTCTGTGATCATTGAAAACTATTTGGGGGAGGGGAGGGGTTCTCAAACCTATTGACCCTATTTTCCCTGTATTTTAATTCTAGGTTTTTCTAGCTAAAGCAAAGCCTGTACTATAGGGAGGGGCATGCCAGCATTTCCCCATCAGAACAGTGGTGAGAGCAGGTTACTAGGAGGCAGGATTCCTCTGGTCTGTTCCTGACTTTGCAGCTGCTTTCTGACCTTGGGGAAATCACTTCTGTTCTCTGTACCTGTGGCTACGTCTACACTGTGACACCGAGTCTCCGAGCCTAGGTCAATTGACTCACAGGAATTGGCTGTGGGGCTGCAAATAGCAACCTAGAGGTTTGGGCTCGGGCTGGAGCCCAGGCTCTAAGATCCACCCCCCTTGTAGGGTCCCTGAGCCCGAATGTCTACGCTGCAATTTTTAGCCCCGCAGCCTGAGCCCTGAGAGCCCAAATCAGCTGACACAGGCTAGCTGCCCTGCAGCCATGCCGCAGGTCTTTTATCTGTATAGGAGAGGCCTGGCCGAGGTCAGCTCCTTAAAGGTCAGCAACGTATTGTTACAGAATGAGAGTATTTGATGAGGCCGGGAGGAAGCTATTTTACCCACAGATGTTAGCAGTGAGGGCGCACTGAGTGGGTGGGCGGCTGCAGAGCCCTTGTTAGAGCCATTCTTTTATTTATTTATTTTTTCGTTGTTATTCTTATTATGCCAGAAATTGACTCATGCATCTTTGACCTGTTGCTCCTCCTGGGGCTGGCACTCCATGCAGAATGTGCTCTGGCCACCTCATTAGGGGTGTGCCCCAAGACAACATCCACAGTGGGGCCACCCTTTTTTCCTGCAGTCGGTGACCTTTCAAACTAAAGCTGCTACATGCGCTGCTGCTATGGGGCTCCCCGGCCTTTACCCACTCCCTGCATAGACTAGAGTTAACATGCCGCTAGCTTGGCCCACGTGAAAGGGAGACTCTTGCCTGGGGCCCCATTAAACAGCCACGCCAAGGAAAAAGGGAAGGGGGTTGACCCTTCCACCTTGGAATGGAGTTGGGACAGTGAAAGAGAAGCCCGTTTTGTTCATCTTGAATAAAGAATAGTCTGCCTGCTGGCTGCACCGTATTTAATGTAAGGGACAGCAGGAACAGAAGTGCTAAAACCAACAGTTTGGTTCGTCAGTTAAACTCTAGCACTTTCTTTTGGGAAATCTAACTAGCTCGCTCGAAGGTGTGTGGTTAAATCCTCGGGTTGCATTTGAATATCTCAACCAGTATCTCAATACTGGGCTGACCCAAAATCCCAGATCCGAAAGCTCCTGATTTAGGGGTTCAAAATCCAGATCCAAAAGTGTGGCCTATTCAACCTTGGGGTTTGGATCTAGACCCTTACAAAGAGAGGTTTGAGCTTTGAACTCTTATCAGAAGTTGGAGTAAGGAGGGTTGGGTCCTACCCACATCTTAATAAGAACTGACCCAAACCTGAGCTGAACCCAGATAGAACCTTAGCACTGCTGCCTCTTCATTTCTAGATTCTGGGTGCAGATGTGCCAAAATACCATGAGAAAGGCTGTTTGCACCAGGAATCTTTCCAGAAAGCCTGTCCTCACCAGACATCTAGCTTAATTTTGAAGACCTAGAACATTCAGGCCCTGATCTTCCTCCAGCAGGATATAGATAACTCCCACTGAAGCCCAGTGAAGTTTTTCTTATCCTGGGGGTTTAGCTGAAGGGAAGAGAAGACCCCTGCTGATCTGGTTGTTTCCTTTAATCAAACTACTGAATCTCAAGTTTGCTCTCCTCCAGATATGTTGGGAAATCTTTACAAATCCTCAATGGCTTCTTTCAGGATGCAGTGACTCATGCGTTTCTCACCTTCCCTTCGCTGATCTGAGAATGTGTATGCAGAGCAGGTCATGAACTCAACAGCGCCCTCCTCCAATATCATTTTACCGGCATGTTACACAATATATAAAATGGTCGGACCCGAGCCAGAGGGTGCACCTCAGGGTCCAGACTTTGAAAAAGTTCACAGCGTGAGGAATCCAGAATTTCTATTAGGCCCCTTTTATGGAGGTAATGGACAGCTGCAACGTTTGGATCCAGCACTGAATTTCCCCAGAGTTTGAGGTTCAATTCAGGCCTCTCTAATGAACATACACAGAACGCTGCTCTAGCTCCAGGAATTTAAACCATCTCACACGCTCCAACAAATAGTTGGATGCTGAAGTCATGCTTTCTTGCTTTGGTATTTTTTTTTCCTTCACGTGTGTGAGTGTTTAACTCAAAAGCAACTATGTGTCTTTTCTCCAAGGTTGTAGTGCCCATTTGAGATAGGTCAGAAATTGCAGTCTGAGATTTCCCTGAGACTGTGCCAAGGAAAACATATGCACTAATAATGAAGCCCACACTGGTGTCAAACAAGCAGAGAGACCTCCTCTGTTCACGTCCATGGCGCAGTTCATTAGCTAGAACTTCTTGCATGTGCAAGTTCCCGGTTACAGACAAATCCCAATCAGCATGATATTTTTGATTAACTCCCCAATTGCTTTCTAGCTCTGCTTGTGTTCCCCTTAGTCCTAAATAGTGTAAGAGGACTCTTCATCCCCAGTTCAGTAAGGTACTGAAGAGCACATCTGGCATTAAGTATGTGAGTAGTCCCATGGACTTCAAATGAGTTTAAAGTTAAGCATGGGTTTAAGTGATTCGCTGGATCATGAGTGGGAGAATGCATCTGTGGTATATAAAGCTATGTTGAAAAAGTACCTTGGTGTTTTGCTGTATTGGTCCCTGATATGGAAGTAACATTATAGCAAGCATTTGCACTGGTACTGTTGTTTTATATTCAGCACAGGCCTGTGTCTCTAAGCTTGAAGTGAGAATTCTTTACAGCAGCTGCATTCCTGCTACTGAGGGTTAATAGTTTAACGCCAGCATGTGAGGTCCAGCCCTGACCACTGAAAAGTAAAGCTACCCTCGAGGTGACAAGGGCAGGAAACCTGCTAGTTTCTCATTCACGCCAATGTCAATCCTATTTTAAGCAGACCTTTTTGGTCTCTTGTTCTCACTCTTCTAGTTACTATAGATTGAGATTCGCTCTCAGCACAAAATGTGGATCAGGATCAGAACTTCTTTATGGGGTGTTTTGATCCCGGGCATTGGGGCCCAGGTCTGATACATACATTTCACTGGGTGATGACTGTTTTGGAATTCCTGACCTATCCTTTTCTTAGAAACATGTAGCATTTATGGTGATGTAAGTCAAATAAGTTATATATAGGAGATATATATATAGAGAGAGATGTATATATGTTTCCCTTCAGTGAAGGATTGTAGCAGTGTACTGAGCCTCTTCTGTAATATATTTATTATGAATATTTGTTTTGTACAGTAGCTGTCTGAAAAGAAGGTGTGACCATTTGTGTTTTAAGATGATGCTGCTGTTTTCCCCCATCCTACACCCGCAGGGGAGTTTTGGGGGAGGAAATCTCGCTAATCTTTCTAATTGCTTAGTTACACAACTGGTATCTCACTACTG